CATGAATAAAGTATTTTTCACCGTAATTCACAGCTCAAAGCTGTTGCCAAGGGGACAGTCAGTGGACGTTTTCACCAAAATCCCTATTAAATCGGTGGACGTTTTCACTCTCATTCAAAATCCGTACATGCACTGCTATTACAATTTTAGAAACACGAGTATATGTACCTGTTCAGCGACTGTACTTGTGGTGACTATACCACCGGTGTTAGGTGGTTTAGTAACTATAAATTTACCATCGCTTGCAAACTCAACTATTGGGAAACCAATGTTATCCCTGAAAGAAATATAAGCACTGTGACAGCCCCAAATAATTCGACTTATGAATTCATCATATTATGGTCGGGAAGAAAAATGATCCCAGAAAGAGGTTAGAGAGCTTTTAAAAGACAACTTCAGTTCTAATATCCTCGTCATCACCTGGGTCTGGGGAGTGGGTACGAGATTGAATCACACTAGGTTTTCCCCAACCTCGTACCCAGGGCTTCTGCGCTTATTGCTCGTCAGAAGCCCTGGAAGAATCCAACTCAGAACGTGAGTTGATTGGTCAATGCGAATACAATGAAAGTACCGAAAGTTATCCATTAACCGGGTGATATTTTGGCAACATGGCTGCTATCACAAGGAGTGTATACGACGATTACGAAAGTTAAATGCGGGTTTTTGCATGAAAATACCTTTTCAACCAAATTCTGGGCTGTTTAGAAAAGAGCAAAAGAAGAAATGGATATTATTTTTATTTGTAGATAAGCAAGAATGGCGAACAAAGTAAAAATTCAACATAATAAAGCGAAACATTTCTTGTTCAAAAATTCCAAGTATAAATCTACAACTTCAACCACGAAATTCAATGTAAATATTACATAATAAAGTTTTTAATACTTTATTTGCCTTTTATATTTGATAAATTGTTGTGTTCTATATTGTTGCATTTTGCATTGGAATAGGACACAATACACACAATGTTTTACATTTCATGATTTGCAATGATTTTTTTCTTTTTTTCATGATTTTTTTTCAGTGTTTGAGATGCAACATGCAAGTTGCTTTTTTTGCAACTGCCCCTGGTTAGGTCTAATAAATGTATAAAAATTCCATTCGAAATTTCCATCTACAAATCCGTTCTGCAACATTATATATATATATATATATATATATATATATATATATATATATATATATATATATATATATATATATATATATATATATATATATATATATATATATATATATAGTACAATCTGCCGACATGCATGTTTCGGCGTTCAACGCCTCGTCAGTGCAGCTTGGTACACGTCTAGATACGTGAGACACTCGTATTTATACCCCATGAACTTGCTCTCACCAAGGCATGTGGTACAACACGGTGACTCAACGCATCCAGACATGCGCAGAGTGTAATGGAGCCAGAGTGCTCAAACGACCACAAGGGAAGTGAGCTTTGCATTATCGCTAATAGACACCATTAACAACTCCGCAGAGTGCTCAACAACACCGAAGTGAAGGAGCGTAATAGTACAATCTGCAGACATGCATGTTTCGGCGTTCAACGCCTCGTCAGTGCAGCTTGGTACACGTCTAGATACGTGAGACACTCGTATTTATACCCCATGAACTTGCTCTCACCAAGGCATGTGGTACAACACGGTGACTCAACGCATCCAGACATGCGCAGAGCGTAATGGAGCCAGAGTGCTCAAACGACCACAAGGGAAGTGAGCTTTGCATTATCGCTAATAGACACCATTATATAATATATAACTATATATATATATATATATATATATATACTGGATATTTCACGTTGGTTTCCATGGTGAGCCTTTCCATCCTTTGATGGTGAGCATTACCAACAGATAAATGGTGTAGCCATGGGAACCAAAATGGGACCCAACTATGCTAATTTGTTTGTTGGTTTTGTGGAAAAACAAATCTTCAAACAGTACACTGATCCCATCCCTGATTATCTTGGTAGGTACATAGATGACTGTCTTGGCACAGTATCATGTTCTCATGTCGAATGCTTTATTAACTTTGTTAATAATTTTCATCCAGCACTCCAGTTCACATGGGAGATCAGTGAGACCAGTGTATCATTCTCAGATATCCTTGTATCAATCAATGGTAACAAACAATTTACTTCTGTATTCTACAAGCCCATTGATTCCCATAGCTATCTTCTATTTTCCTCTTCCCACCCCAACCACACCAAAAGGTCGATTCCCTTCTCTCAGTTCCTTCATCTTTGCTGCATCTGCCAGATTTTCAGACCAAACGTCTGGAGATGAGACACTTTTTTGTCCAACGTGGTTATCCTACCTCTCTATTAGACACTGCCTTTTCAAAGGCCTCCCAAATTCCCTGTTCTGACACCCTCACAGACTGTGTCTAACGTCACAGTCAACAACAAAATCCCCCTAGTATTAAAGTATCGTCCTTTCAATTTCAAAGTTAGAGATGTCATCAACAAGAATTTCCATATTTTGAAAAACGACCGGTAACCCCTTTCCGATAACCCCTTAGTCTCTTTTCGACACCGCAAAAATATCTGTGAAACCCTAGTCCATAAGCTCCCTAGCACAGGCGTCGACATCACAGAAAGGCACTTTTCCTTGCATGTCGTCGAAATGTAAAACCTGTGATTTTGTAGATTCGACCACTATTGTTTTGGCACCTAAATCTGAATTTCACATCAAGCACCATTTCTTGTGTGCCTCCTCCCATCTCATCTACTTCATCTCTTGCAGCAGATGTGGCATGCTTTACATTGGGGAAACTGGAAGATGTTTAAGGACAAGGTTTGGTGAGCATTGGCGTGCAGTTATTGGCAATGATGCTAACCAACCTGTTGCCAGACATTTTAATAATGGCAATCACAGTGTTTCAGATATGGTAATTCGAGCCCTCTGTCCCATTTCTGGAAGCAACGATAGCCACAAACGACATGAAATGCGCCTCATACCAAACTTGGCACTGTTCACCCTTCTGGTATTAATGAACGCTTTTCCTATGTTAATGCCATCTGTCCTTGCCTGTCTATAGCAGAGATTGACAACATTTATCTATTTATTACTTTTACCTTATTCCCCCACTCGTGTTTTGTTTTGATTATTTTTTGTAGTAATTGTCTTAGCTTCCTGTATTTTATATTTTTTAATTATGTTATATTCTGTAATGCGATTTACATATATTGTTTACACTTTGTTATGATGAAATCGATCTAATTGGTTTATTTTTTTGTCATGTGCGTGTGCATTTTCCCCCAATCCGTGCATTTCCCCCCGAACTCTTGACGAAGGGCCTTCACTCGAAATGTCGAGTTTCTGCTTGTTTTTTAAGGTAGTAATATAACCACTCAGCACAGCATATCAAACAAAAGCTTCTTTTACAAAGATTTCAACTATACTTGATTTTCCTGACATTTCTTAGAGTAAAAGTAAAATTGTAAATGTTTGATTGCTTTCTAAAGTACAAAGCATTCAGAATTGAGATTTAAAAAAAATCACAGGTCATGGTGAAGATGAGATCATTTGCTTTCCTCTGATACCCATATTATCCAAAAAGACCCTGGGGGTCACCCCAGATTCACTGTTGGACACAAGGTATTGACGGCGAATATCAGTGCCATGTAATTTAATGTCGTTCTACAGCACGAAAATTCGACAATTTGGCGGCTTGTAACTTTGGAACAACTCAACATCAAAGTTTCAAAATAGTCTCCTTTTGTAGATATATGCTTCAATAATCACCTCAAAAAGTTTTAAAAGCAAGTTTTACCTAAGTCGTAAGTTATATTGCTAGCACTATCAGTTTTTGAAAATAAAGCCAAAAACGTCTTAAGAATGCGATTCAAACAAAACTACAACACAATACATTTCAACGCTCATGCGCGATAATCAGGAAAATTGCTCTAAAAGATTTGCTTTTCTGCCTAAGCCAATCAATCAAAATCCGTATCTAGGGTAAACAAACACTCCGGAAGTGATTCCTGCAGTCTTTTACCAGGAAACTGTAATGCTTTACCAAGAATTTGGCCGAATACTTTCCGATCACGAGAATCGCTATAATAGGCTTAGATTATTTTGCAATTTCCCGAGACTGCTCTGAGCTATAGAATGGAAGATGGCGATTCTTGTGGTATATTTGTTATTATTATACGTTGAAAAGAAGCAAAAATACGAGCATTTGAATCAGGCGGAACATTCAAAATGCAACAGCAAAATTGATAATGCGTCATTTGCATTTCAAGGTAAGAAATTCGCTTGAAATTGAGCAAGAAACAAAATTATATGAATATTTCTGAATATATAGTATCGATCAAGCGGAATTTTTTGGTGGTATTTTCGTATGTCTACTGCAAATACTCGCGAAGTTCTTTAATATTTAATCTTCCCGTCATATACGTCGGAAATTAATATTGGCGGATTGAATTGAGTTAAAATCATCGTCTTCGTACAGAAAACAAAATATGAGAATTGGTGTTTGACCATCAAATCACACACAGAATCTGACAGGCTTGGTATATACATGCATGTCGTACCATTTTGCACCAGAATAATGCATTGTTTTATCGTGCCACATTAAATTCAACATCGTCTCTCATTTCATATATGATGATATACAACATATGGCAATGCACAAATCTATGATGTATATCATCATATAGCTGCTCCATTGGTCCCACAAAGATGGGACAAGACTTCTTTCTATATATGTAACATTCTATTAGGGTTGGTGGGTTGGGGATGGCAGTGTCAGGGGTTGATTTGGACTGGTGTTTGGATTAGACTTAGGGGTAGGGTTAGTGGCATAGTGTTAGGATTCATGCATTACCATATGTCATATCCCTCATCATTAGAAACAAAAGACTACTGTATGGCAAATTATATCTGCGCAGAGTACTCAAAGTGACAGTGCATGTCCGCTCCGATACTGACGTCACATAGGTCTTCGCCTCGATAAAAGTTAACTTGATGAAAAAGATATATTCTGTTGAATTTTCATTGTGTTTTTTAAAAACACATGAAATGTTTACAAACAATTCTGTGTTTTGGTAAATGTTTACTATTTACCTTTGAAATCCAGTTATTTAATTTTGAATAAAATGATGGCCTTTGTATTTTTTATATGTGACCACAACAAGAGCCATGTGGGACATCACACTTATTAGAAACGGACGTTATTATACTATCTATAATGATTTCTTAGGAAGTTATCACCTCAAAAACACCAAATTAGTTTTTAAGTCTGAAATATATCAAAATTAATACAAGGCAGGTCAGCAAATTTACGCATGGGAGCAAAAACGTATATGATGTCAGAAGTGGTTAGGATTATCACAGTTAATAAAATAAGATGGTTTGGCTAGCCGGCAAACTTCAAAGGGATTAGGCGACGGCGGCAAAACATGTTGAGGATCAAAGGAAAAAGATGTCACGTGACGGTTTTAGTGCATGGCTTGAGACCAATTACTATAAGATTATATTATAGTTTCCAATGTTTTCATGTTTCATCGCGAAATAACGGCGCTAATAACATTTATTTTTGCGCTAAACTAAAGTCATAAGCGATTGTATCGATTCCCAGGGAATTGGAAGGCAAAAGTTGTTCGAGCAACATTGTCGAGGAGTTGGCATTATTTGAACATGAAGAAACCTGCGAGGATATTTTCCCTTATAATTTTGAAATTGCGTTGTCTTTTATTCAAGAAGTCGAAGCAACTATGGAAGAGGAGGTCGCAGACGCTGTGAGCGAAATATCAGGCGAAAATAACTTTCCTTGCAAAAATTGTGACAGGATTTCAGGATTTGCAAGTCGAAAGGTTGCTTGACGAGACATAAAAATGCAAAACATGGGAACAGAACGTTTCTGTATCGAAGATATCGCTAACACCCGAGTAGTTAAAATCCATTGTTGATAAAGTTAAGACAAAAATAAAGGAGGATGCTTTCTGGGACAGCAAAATGACTTCGAATATGGCAAGCATAACATCGAACGATTCACTATATACGATAATATATTGCCAATTTATGAACGATTTTGTCGAAAGCTAAATCAATATTCATTCTTAGCAGACTTTCGTCTTGCCTATTGCGGTCTAAAAACCAACAATTATGCAGTCATAGATGCTATTGATATGATCTCAGATACTAGGGACACCCTACCCCTGAGACAACTTTACCGCACGGCTATATGAGAAACACTAGCCCTGGCACTGTATCCCCTCCTACAAGAATGGCTCTAAGTGCAATATTGTGACTCCTGAAACATGCAGTTATTTGTTTGATGGCCTGGGAATCAGGGAATGAAAAGTTATCTGTGGAGGCAGAGACAAATTATTTACATGGACAAAAGTTGTCCCTACGGCCAAGGGTAACCCCGTTTTGTAAACAGGGTGTCCCTACCGCCAGGGTGACCCTACCAGCCGAGACGAGTTGAAAACTTTCCATATAAACACTTGCATTTAAATTAAATGTTATATAATGAATATAATTTTGCTTCTCCTTGGGTAGCTCGGGGGTAGGGTGACCCTAGTACCCGAGATCATATAAACAGCACCTAATAATGATTTCAATACCAGACCATTTAGTGACATTCTCAAAAGGTCTTACTACATGCAGTGGACATGCTGGAATTTCTTCAGAACTTAATGAGAATGAACACGGTCCCCTGTCCTACATAGCATGGTATGTGTTGTCAAATCTGAAGAAAAAGTCCAAAAACAAAGTAAATGACGACGGCTTCAAATAATTTTAGAACATATGATCAGTTCTGGTTTGGAGAATGAATACTTTAAGGCACACAGTCAAGGAGGTCTGGCTACACCATGTAATGATTTGGTCAAACTACTAGAGCTTGTAGGGATTCTATTCAGACAGTTTATATATAGGGAAAAAAAGTTAATTTGGCTTTATGATCCTTAAAAATATTTATAATGATAATTTCAGTGCCTTAACAAAGTGCATAGCAATTGATATAATTTATGTGATTGTCCACCATTCCAAAAATACTTTTAACATAGCCAATAATTAACATCCTACACTCCATACCCCTGGGCCTAAATATACTAGAGCCGTGTTTACACTGCGAGCCTAAGCCTGGCCTGGGCCTACCTTTGGACCAGATTTTTTAGTGTAAATGCACTTCAGCCTGGCCTAGGCCAGGAAATCTGGGCCTATATCAGAACAGTTGGCCCAGATTTGCTGGCCTAGGCCAGGTTGAAGTGCGTTTACACTACAAAAATCTGGTCCAAAGCTAGACCTAGGCCAAGTTTAGGCTAGTAGTGTAAACACGGCTTAGGGCATAGTGGGATAGGGTTGGGCAATGGGTGCTCGCCATATTACCATGTTGGAAAGAACCAACAAAGGGGATACCTATACACATTTTAGTAGAAGTCAGATAATTTAAATAGGGCTCATCAATTTATTTTTAGTTCAATAAGCTATTTGACTGTTTTGTGTACAAGATACAAATTTAACATAGCAATATGTTATATATAGCAATATAGCATCCTTTGCAATGGAGTTTAGGTATTCTTTCTGTCATAAACCTTTGCATATCTTGAATTCCCCCCTTTGAAGAGACAGCAAAAGTTCAGCAATTTCAGCAGGGTCATCCGTCATCTATGGCTTGAATAAATTTGGTGATCATCAAGGGAGAAGCCAATTGTAAACATGTAACAAAAATGTAAACATGAATCTATAATAAGGAATATCGCTGTCCCGAAGTTCAGTTCCCATTTCATCATCAGTACATGCTGTGATACGCCAAGGATCAAGCGAAACTCCCTTAACATTTTAACAAAACTCTTCAAACATTTCTTTTTTCTCCACGGGTGCCAGCTTCTTGTTGTCCTTCAATGACCCCACGTATGCTTGGCTTGGTTTCATGGCTTTTTAACGGCAGATTTTC